TATATATATATATATATATATATATATTGGCCATAAATGGCATATCCTTGTATTCTGCTATTCTGCCTGGCTTAGGACTCGGGCCCGCAAATTTCCCGCCCTTGTCAACTGTACGGTAATTGACTGGTTCCAGCCTTGGCCGTATGAAGCGTTGCACTCGGTGGCAAGCAAATTTTGCGCGGAATTGCCTGTCGGAGACGCGGATTCTACTCGCGCTTCAGTTGTAGACTTTCTACCTTACATGTTTTATGCCGTCAGTGATGCGGCACAAACATACGTAGAAGTAGATCGCAGGTAATCCCAGCCAGCCCAGGTACCCTTCAAATACAAAATGAAGGAAATCTTGGACTAAAGGCTAATTAGCCACCTGCATTCAAACTATCTTGGCTTGGTCATAGGTTTGCTTACGTGACGCCGAAGACGTTCATAGAGGCAATGAAGCTCTACCAGACCATGCTGTTGAAACGCATTTCTTCCATAGAAGAGCATAGCGAACGACTGAGCAGCGGCCTATCGAAGCTTCTCGATACTCAAGAAAAGGTCTCAGCACTAGAAGACGACTTAAGGGAGAAAACAGTTGCTGTTGAAGAGAAAAAAGCAGCCGCTGAGGAGTTCGCTCAGAAGGTTGGCGAGGAAAAGGCCAAAGTGACAGCTGAATCCGAAAATGCCAATGTTGAGGCACTCAAGTGCGCAGAAATACAGAAATCCGTTTCTGAACAGCGAGTGAGCGGGCATTTAAACACGGCAGGTAACAAGCTTTCTTTAGTGAAGTCAACCCTGAAGACGTAGCTTGGCACTAACTTCGTTACCGGCGTGACGGTCATTGCTTTCCCGCGTTCAGCTGCACCTCCCATGCATATGGAACTCACTAACGGCTGCGTTAGGAGCCGAGTGGTAGCACGAGTGGTAGCACTGCACGATGACTTGGCTGCAGCATTGATTCCTAATAAATAACGTAGAGAGCTGCGCAATGGCTATTTAGGCATCGTGCGAGGCTGACTTGGAGAAAGCCATCCCCCTGGTGGAGCAGGCAGAAGCCGCCTTGAATACACTGAACAAGAAGGACTTTCAGGAGGCAAAGGCTCTCAACAAGCCTCCACCAGGCGTTGAAGATATTACAGCTGCTGTCATGCACTTGCTTGCCACGGTAGACCCAATTATTGAGGTAAGATCAATGAAAAGCCAGATGTCATGTGCGCCGCCGGCGATAAGAAGGGGTTTGGGATAGCCTTAAGCCTTAGATTGAATGAAACCCCAGATAAGCGATATTCACGGCGGCTTAAACGGTTCGGCGTTTAGCTTACAAATGTTTCTCTTGCTCGGCAAAGGGGCAACGACGTAACTTGTTTTCGTGGCTCCCAAAGAAGTGCAATTATGTTAATAATCTTAATGCAGGTAGATAAACAGGGCAAGCTTAAAGACAAGAGCTGGAAGGGTGCACAGAAGATGATGAACAATCCGGAAAAGTTCTTGCAGACGCTCAAGGACTTCAAGAGTGTCATTGACGATGGTCGAGTGCCCGAACAGAATTTCAAAGCCGTGGAACCATTGCTAGCCCTTCCTCATTTTAATCGCGAGGCTATTCAGAAGAAGAGTACAGCTGCAGCAGGCCTTGCTGAGTGGGTAGTCAACATTTACCAGTATTACACTGTGGTTGTGTCCGTCGAGCCCAAAAGACGAGCGTTGGCCGAAGCCACTCAACAACTCGAGGATGCAAACAAGAAACTCGTCGAGGTGCAGGCACTAGTTGCGGAGCTTGAGGAAAAGGTAATAATTTGATGCCCGTCCTTTCTTGACCACTGATTAAGTGACCCCGATCAGAGGGCTGGAATCAGCAGTGGGCAGCTTAATAAACACTCTATGTTTGGATAATCCATGACGAGCATGCAGTACAGCCTTTCCGAAACTGCAAGGGGTTTGCTTATTTCAGCTAGGCCAACTTGTTGCCGAATTCGATTCTGCTATAGCCGAGAAGAATGCGGTGGAGGCCGAGGCTGAAAAATGCCAGAGGAAATTAGATCTCGCACAGAGGCTCATGCGTTCCTTGGGATCAGAAGGCGCCCGTTGGGGGCAAACGATTGACGATCTAAAAGAACAAGTCAGCAGGCAGGGAACTTGCTGCTGTTAAGCCCATAAGTCGCATAGCGTGAAACTTTGCCTGGCGTGTTGTGCGCAGCTTGCAGTTTTTGTGTGAGATACGATTTTCACAGTGTGCACAAATGCCAAGATATTTAGGAAGGAGTATAAAGTGGTTGCGGAAGCTTTTATATCGTGTGTTTGGCTGTGGATGCCTGTGCTCAGCGACGCGTCTCCGTCGGCGACGTGCTGCTATCGTCATCCTTCGTAGCATATGCTGGAGTCTTTAGCAAGAAGTATCGAGATTGGCTTATGTACGAAAGGGCGGTGCCGTTTTTGCTTGATCGTGGAGTGCCCCTGCGGCAGCCCGCTGATGTACTTGCCCAGCTTACAGATGAAGCCGAAATGGCTTTGTAAGTGCTGCGTTAATGCAGTCTGGAAGTTCGTATTTTATTTTGGAAAGTACACGTATCGAGATAGATGACGATACTTCGTGAACTCCAAAGCGGCGGAAAAATTTTCTCGTTTCTGCAGCAGCTGTATTAAGGGGTAAGCTAATGCTCGTTCCCAAGGCCCAAGTGAATTGGCGTCATTTCCTTTCAGGTGGAACAATCAAGGGCTACCGTCTGATGCGACGTCCATTGAAAATGGAGCAATTGCATCTTCAACGGAGCGTTGGCCGCTCATGATTGACCCTCAGTTGCAAGGGAGAAAATGGATTGTCGAAAAAGAAAGAGAAAACCGCCTACAGGTACGTGCTTTATCTGCCCTTTTGTTGTACAGGTGGATGGTTGCTGCAAACAGCCAGAATCCATGTACACATATACACAGCATTGCAACGGCGGGGAGGATGCCCATGTACACTTTAGAAAGAGGGAGTTGTCCTGAGGAGACTACTGGCGTTGCCAACATGCGAACACAAATACGCTAGTGGCTAAAGTAACCATCGCACCGTATGAATTGTAACTGCAGGTGCTGCGCCTTAGCACTCCTCGAATGGTATCTTTGGTAGAGATGGCAATTCAGCAAGGCACCAGCGTACTGATTGAAAACCTGGAAGTATCCGTCGACCCCGTTCTGGCTCCTGTTGTAGGACGCCAAACAATTCGGAGAGGACGGTCGCAATATCTTAAACTGGGGGACAAAGAAGTTTCTTACAATCCCAATTTCAGGCTCATTCTGCAGACACGGCTATCTAATCCACATTATCCTCCAGAGCTTCAGGCTGAATGCACGCTAATAAATTTTACAGTTACTGAGAAGGTAAGCCGCCGTGGCATTCCTTGTTTAATTAGAGGCTACACCGAGCTAGGTCTCTCAGACGGAATCGACGTCCACCCGCAAGCAAGGTCAGCACACAAGTAGAAAGGCGTCGAGACCGCAGAGCAACAACTATAAATTAATTCCACCTGCTGTTGCTTGCAAAGGGCCTGGAAGACCAGCTGCTAGACCTGACGATGCAGAAAGAACAGCCGAGGCTTTTCCAAAGACGAATTCACCTTGTGCAGCAGCAAAATGAGTTTACAATTCTCCTCGCCGAACTCGAAAATACTCTCTTGAGGGATATATCATCTGCTGAAGTGAGGAGCCGTTCCTGTGACAGCTTCCCCTCCGCGCAACTAATGCACTTGTTCCCGATCATCCCAGTATTGTAGACATCACAGCACGATGCAAGCACTAGCTGCTTCTGAGATTACCAACAATCCTCTGTGTGTACCATCGATACTGCAAGTAAGATTGCCAAAAATAACTTGACGTGCTTTGCTTTCTCGTCGTCAGTTGCTCACTGTGAACTGTTGTACATCCGGGGTCACAAGAAAAAGGAGGACCAGAGCGAGTGTGAAAAACTGCAGGACCAGAAGGGTGTAGAAGGGTGTAACGCTGTCTTGGTGTTTCAGGGAGACGTTTTGGAGAATATAGAGCTAATTCAAAATCTGGAGAAAACGAAGAAAATCACCACAGAAGTTTCCGAGAAGGTTGCCCTTGCAAAAGTAACTGAAGAGAAGCTCAATGCGATATCCGAAATGTATAGGCCTGTAGCGCGCCGAGGAGCCAGGCTGTTCTTTTTGTTAGCTCAGCTATTCAAAATCCACAGTTTTTATCTGTTTTCCATGGAGTCCTTCGTGGCAGTGATAAACCGGGCTATAGACTCGATTTCAGAGGTGGGGATGCATTTTGGCTGACTGCCCTGCAAAGACAAACACGCCCAGAATCACGTACAGTACTGGTGACAGCACAACACCGACTGTCTGCGATCTCACCAGGTGCAAACGCAACCAGTATACGTATCATTTGCATTCAGAAGCCGCAGACGGGTGAGGAAGACGGAACGGACTCCGATGGAAAGGATGCAGCAACAATACCTGAGACAGGGACAGACGATGCTGAAGTGGCTGAAAAGAACCCTGCTCCAGAAGAAGCATCCGACCTTGCAATCACAAGGAATTCAACAACAGACAACAACGACAAAGTAGGCAATTGATTTCATCCATGCACGCGGAAGGGGCAACAATTCCACGTAGCCTTGCGGAAACATCATTCCGCTGAAAGGAGGATAATCCTTTTTCGTATTATAAAATTTGGAACACAAATTATGTCCGAGTTTGAGTTTATGCTGCAGGCCGCTGCTGGAGAGACAGAAGCAGAAAGCAAACAGCCCGGTGCTGAGTCCAGCTCACCGGCCGTTGGCGTATCAGAAGGTGCAGGAACGGACGGGCCAAAGGGAGAGCAACGGCCTGCAGACCAGTCGCCGCAACCTTCCGCTCGGAGCACTGCAGATAAAAATGCAAAGGCGGGGGAAGCGGAGGAGGAGGATGAGAAGGATGTTAGCCCGGATGCTTCGCGTGTTGCTCTGCTAAAAGACGTCATAACGAAGTTTACCTTTGTATCGTGCAACAGGGGCTTATTTGACAAGCACAAGCTGACAGTTGCTGTTTTCCTTACCTTACGCATCATGGCAAGTTGATCCCATATTCACTAAAGCCTCCCAATTAAAAATTCGCAACAATTATATCGGGCACGAGGTATCGTTCTGTTGGGAGTTTACTTGAACGATGGAGTTTGAAGTGCTATACTTTTCTATGCTGATGGGGATCCGACAATCGCACACTTCAAAATACGTCTGATTGCTTTTCAGGAGGAGCAAAATACTGTCACAGAGGAAGAGGTTCGCCTGCTGTCTCAGGTTCACCCCGACCCAACTGCTCCCCCTATGCCCGAGGCTGCACGTGCGTGGCTCTCGGAAGCACAATGGGCCTGTTGTAGGTCCCTAGAACAACTCAAGTCCTTCAAAAACAACCAAGTATCCCTGTTACAAAACTTCGACCAAGACTCCCTTGGATGGGCGAGGTGGGCACCACAAAGCATATTGAATTCCTTGCTTGTTTCTAAAACTGTGCTCCAAGCCAATCAGCCACCTTTGGCCCCACCATCTGTCTTCCATGATAGCTCGCCTGCCAACCTTCCCCGGTGCTCGTGCTGCCAGTCCCACTTTGTTACTTCACAAGCGCATAGCATCAGGCAATAATGGACAAGTTCTATGTTACGTGAGTGACCTGCACAGGTGGATGGCGGAGGATGCTCCGGAAGGCGCAGACCTGCCAAGACTGTTTAAAGGAATTAGCGAATTTGAAAAGCTCCTTCTCTTGCGATACCTAAGACCAGATAGGATGATCTCGGCTCTTCGCCAATTTGTCGCTGGGCAACTGGGGCACTTTTTCGTAGAGCCTCCAGCCATCGACTTGCAAGAAATTGAAAAGGAAGCTGACAGATTCACTCCGTTGTTCATTGTCCTGTTCCCGGGTGTTGATCCCACACCCGCACTAGAAACAACCGCAAGATCCAAAGGATGTACTGCAGTCAGTTTTTACGGTTGTTTATTTAGACACGAACATGCCGCTGCCAGCGGAACATGCAACAAAGTGTTTGCAGTGTGTCACTACGGTCCACCGTCAATCGTTTGTCCTTCACATTTTGGCTCTTTTCAAGTTATCAATTAACATCCAACGTTAACAACTCCTTATATGCAGGCGAGAAATGCGTAAAAGTATTGCGGGAGGGTACGTTTGCGCCTCTTGACGCTGTTTATCAGGACAATGGTAAATTTGTCAATATCTCCATGGGCCAGGGCCAGGAAGAACGTGCGCTCGCTGCTGTCCAAGAAGCAGCACAGTTAGGTGGCTGGGTTGTCCTGCAAAACGTGCACCTTATGCAAGAGTGGCTCAAGGCAAGCAAGTATTTGATATCAAACACAGACCTAAGCCAGTTGTCTTTGTTTTTTGTCGCTGCCCGATAAGCACGCTGCGTCGCATGGCGACACGAATTGTTGTTCGTGTTTTTCGTTTAAGCTGCCACCATTGTATTACGTCGCTGCCGCTCATACGAAGGAAGCATTCGCCTCTTACATGCAATTCTGCAGCGCCTTCAGAGGACTCTAGAAGAGGCTAGCGCCATTGCGCATCGCGAGTTTCGATGCGTGGTGACTTCTGAGCCCCCACCGCTACGAGACATGCAAATTATCCCAGAGGCATTGCTCCAACGGAGCATCAAGATAGCAGACGAAGCTCCTCAAGACCTTAAGGCCAATCTCCGTAGGGCACTAAACTGCTTTTCGCAGGTCAGCAATGGCAATTGAGAGACAACGCTGAATATTGTAGAAGGCTTAAAACGCACCAGCATGGTACACCTCGGGTACGATTATGCTCATCGTCGAGGAGAGTATGCCACGAACGGGGCATCCGAAACGTGCCACGCCAGCAAGCAGTGGCAAGTAACTGTGGCTGATGTTTCAGGAGGTGGTCGACTCGTGTTCGCGCCCTCGGGAGTTTAAGGCTATCCTGTTTTCCCTGTGCTATTTCCACGCACTCATTATTGGCCGCAAAAAGTTTGGCTTTTTGGGTTGGAGTCGATCTTACTCATTTAACGAGGGGGACTTGACAATATGCGGCAACGTCATAAAGAACTACTTAGATAAGTGCGATATTGCTTATCAGAACGCAACTCCTCAGCAACTCCTCAAGAACCAGTGACCCGACAGAGCCGGCAATGTATCGACCAAATATCAAAGGGCATCTACTTGTGTTGCATGCTGGTGGCCTTTTAGGTATGCTACAATTCCCTTCGAAGACATTAGATACATCTTAGGAGAGATTATGTACGGAGGCCATATAACTGATGGGTTTGACCGGCGCTTGAACAACACCTACCTGGCGAACTTGATCCTGCCTGAAGTGCTGCAAAGTTACCAACTCGGGCCTTCTTTCCGAACACCGGATCCAGCAAAGACTGAATTTGCTGCATACCAGAAGTTCGTCGAGGAAAAGACGCCACCGGAGAATCCTCAGGTTTGACGTACAATTGAATTGGGCTGATTGTTCAGAGCCAATGATTGCAGAAACGCATATTCCCGCCTCATTTTGCAGCATTTACCAACTTACCTAAAGAATATACCCTACAGCTTTTCTGGAAGTAGCGCAAAACATTAGATGATGGTAGGTAACTGCGTTGCTGTGAAGGTTTTCGGGCTGCATCCAAATGCCGAATTGGGTTGCCTAAGCTCCCTAAGCGACGAACTGTTCACAACGCTACAAGTATGGCTTGAGAAAAGTTTGACAGCGGGGGAGCTCCATCGTTAGCTAGCCGAGTAAAGGCCTGCACACACCTGATGTGTTGAATGAGAATCTCACGCCCCAGCATGTCTGTGGAAGATAACTATAGTACACTGCTGTCTGTTCGCAGGAGGTATCTGGCGTTGCTGGAGGCGGGAGCTCTACAGGCCGGAAGGAGGACACAGTGTTGACCATGGTGGACTCGTTGCTGGCGAAAGTACCAATCCCATTCGATATAGCTTCTATTCGAGCGAAAGTTAAGGAATTTCACCCTGCAACCGTTGTCTGTCTGCAGGTGAGCTGCCTGTAGTTCAAAAGCACGCGAGTTTTGTTGCCACTTCCTGACCATAATTTTGCCGAAAGAAGACTCACTACGATAGCGCTCCCATGCATTTTCCGGAGGCTCACATGACTGTAGTGGCAAGTGCTCCGCTAAATCAGGAATTGGAACGAATGAATGTTCTCTTGGCTGAAGCACGGCGAACTCTGGAGCAGCTCAAGAAGGGCTTGGAGGTCGTTGATGCACCCATGCTATGGCATGTTCCCTTTATACCGGCTATGCAAATGCCGCACAACGCACATCACATGGGGCTTTCGCCAGCAGCTAAAAAGGAAAATGGTTTGGCTGAGTACGCAGTAACTTTAAAAACGACAGCTTGCGAGGAATCCAGTTAGCGGGAAGACTCATTACTGCTTGTGGACAGGGTGCACTAAATGTTACGGACGCCATGGAGCAGCTTGAAGCCTCGCTTAATATGAACAGGGTCCCTGAAGCTTGGAAGCCTTACGCGTATGAATCGCGCAAGCAACTGGGTCCTTGGTGAGCTAGGCCAAACGGAAAAAACAAACGCCTCCATTAATCATATTATTGCTTGTTAGGGTTGGATGTGCTGGGAAAAACTCCATGCGCTACACATGCTACGATTTTAGGGTAAATGACCTACTACACCGTGTGAAGCAATTGGAGGAGTGGAGCACAGACTTCACCCTTCCTTCCCCGTTGTGGATTTCCGGGCTCTTTAACCCCATGTCCTTTCTAACAGCTGTCATGCAGGTTGGTATTACCGGCGAGCTGCATACAGTCGAAGTGCAGTCAAATAGCTCAACCAAAAATAGGTCTGCACGTAGCTTCAAGGACCAATACTGTTTCCTGACACTCGTTTTTCGCTAGGTCTAAATGCATTGCTCGTGCTATCCCAGGTGCGTGCCCGAGCGGAGTCACTTGCTCTAGACCGCATGTGCTTGCGGTGGACAGTGACAAACATACGGTACGGGGCAGCAGCAGCAGGAACGCAGGGAGTTGCAACGCAACAACAGCCTCTGTCTGCTTCTGAAACGGGAGTGCTCATTCATGGGCTTTTTCTAGAAGGTGCAGCTTGGGAAGAGGGAAAGGGGGACGTTGAAGGCAACCTGACACATGCACAGCCAAAAGTATTGCAATATCCGATGCCTGTCTTCCTGGTTGAGGCGATCCCTACTGCCGAAGTCGACAACACTGCAATGTACAGTTGCCCCGTTTACCTCACTTCAGCAAGAGGGCCTACATACGTGACAACTGCAAATCTGAGGTGAGCAGCGCTGTGAGACTCGCAGCAGCGTTCCACTGATCAAGAGACGAAACTGCAACCCTACAAGTGCTCCCCTTAACCATTTGCAGCTATAGATGAGCTGCCGCTGCTCGATTCACGTCTGCTTGTCTTATGGTTGTGATGGCAACTGCCGACCTTGCGCTGTTGCTGCAACAGAATGAGTGCCGACGATTCGGAGCGTCGTTGGATACTCGCCGGAGTTGCGCTGACAATGGCGACTGATACATGAATAAGGAAACTACTCTCCTACGCCAGCTGCAGAAGATATAGTCAACCGCATATTCCGAGGAAAGATTCGGGGTTATAGAACGCAATAAACGACTACCATTCTAACATGTTTGAGCCCCAGTTTACACCAGCGCCCAGCTCCATTCACCTGGCTCTGTGTACTGACATTACCTGATGGCCTAAAAGCTTTCCCACTTCCAACTGTACGACGGGTTCTGAAATGGTCAATGCAGGCCACTTGCCTTTCCTTGCGTTATAACACCGCCCATCCCACCCCCCACCCTCAAAATCCCCTTCTGCGCAGAAGCTGTAGCAGAGAGAGGGGAAGTGATCATAACAATCAATATGGTGCAAGTTTGCTGTTGGGTGACAGAAGACTTAAAACATCATGTCTGCTCATGTTGTGTGGTACCAAAAAGTTATTTATAGCAGAAGTAGTCAAGATGCAACAGTCCATTTGTAGTGTGCTTAGGATATAGTGTTGCTAGGCGAAGAACTTGTGGGGAATAATACAGGAGGAAAGTACGTGGGTGGGGGACCCGTTCCGTCTTTGCACTCAGCTACGAATGGGAAAATGTAGCAGCTTGGACAAGGGAAGCGCAATGGCCATAAAGTGTAGCTCCCCTGTGTTAACACTTCCCGTTGATTGGAAAGTACAACGAGCGTGCTGCTTGTGCACGTTCCTTGCAATCAACGGCCTTGGGGTACCGGCTACGGATTGCGGCACAGATGAGAAAAAAGGAAATCTACACGTTAGAAAAGCTCGAGAGGGTCTCCCTCCACTTCCGCTCCTGAATTACACGTGCTCCCGCGCCTTGGAACATGTTTCACCTTCCCGCGTCGCCGGCACGTAATTTTGGACTTTCAGCACTATATTCCCTGCTTGTATAACTAATTTCATGCTCCAAGGGTTCAGATAAAGCCGGGTATATCACCGTAAAGGGAGACCTCGACTGTTTGCGTCGCACGCATGAAGGCGCGTCAGTAAGCCAAAGTAACGGCGCAGTGCCCCGAGCTTCTGTTGCTCATAACAGTGACACTCATCAACAAATACAGAACAACAACCCATGCAAGTGAATACTACAGACGCCAAATGTAATTTTTTGGATGGCCTTTGCAATTCCAGTCTTGGCGGCCGTCGCTTGCATGTGCCGCTGCTGTGCAGCGCCTCATAGGGCAGCGTGCAGTTTACACTCATTCTTCTCCATTAATTTGCAGTAAAACTTTCACAAAAGTTATCTGAGCTCTTCTGGACTCACTCGCCGACGATCTGACCTTCTGTATTGTCATTTCGGATGTCAGATTCCTCTGCTTGCATGTCACGCACTTCGTGGCTTCCCTAGTGTCCTGTTTTTTCCAGAAAAGGGCAGTTAAGGAGCCGAGTCGAGAGGAATTTTGCGTGCAGAGTGGCTTCCCTTGCTGAGGAAATGCTCTAATCGAAACGTTCGGCCTAGAGGTCGGTGCAAACCCACTTTGAATTGAATGCGCGAGTGTGCGTATTGGTTCGTCAGCATCTTTCCGTGTAATATTCTGCCTGGAAGAATTGTGAAACATTCAATTCACGCGCAGGCTGAGGATCCCTGCTTATCAAGCAGTCACGCTGATGAGGCCCGCCGTCCTCATCGCTGCAGCGGACCGTCCTTTGAACACCATTGCCGACCGGGTGTAGTTTCATTTGCCATTACTCGAGTTTTTTAGTGGCCACAGATTGTGTCTGTGTCAAAACACAACCTTATAAGATAGCCTCGCGCAGTCCACGTTTGGACAAATGGACGCGTCGGAGCTGTTTTCCATTTCCTCGAGGCAGCCTGCGCGAATGCCTCCAGATATCAAAGAACTGCCTCCCATTACTCGAGGCCGAAGCAGCAACTTCCCTAACCGAGTTGGTAGCCCGTCAATAAGCCCACATCAATCTCGGCGCAAATCAGCTGGCTGCTCCATGCGAACAGTGAAGGAGGAGCGACAGCAGGAAGATGCCATGCCCAGAGAGGAAGGAATCACATGCAGGACCAGCCTGGACTCAGATAAGGACACAGCCGACGGCCACAGGGAGGATTCGAGGCAAACTCGTCCATCTTCATCCGCTCGGCACCGCACCTGTCGAAACGATCTACAGGCGCCGCACAGTGGAAGTAGTAGCAGACGCTCAAGCTGCAATGCGTACGTCCTTACCACCAGTGCCCGGTAATGCTCCTGACACTCTCCTTGCTTGCTATTGTTATATGTGCATTTTAACCAGTTGGGTTTTTCGCAGATCGTGTGGCCCGTTGCCCACATGGGACGAATTCTTCGAGAGATGCGAGGATATTAGGCCGTCAGACAGCAGTGACGTAAGCCTGCCACCCAATGACTTTCAGTTGATTATCTTAAGACTGCAAGACAAGCAGGCGGGCGATTCATTTTCAAGCAACCGAAATACATAAGAGGTGCACTGCTTCGTAGCAGAGTGCCTGCCACACTTCACGACACCTGCCATACTCCGGCTACATCTATGCAACTAGTTGATTCATATAGGATGCGCTGCGCTGTGTGATTGTATGCAGACCTTCCGTGTGTATTCTAGTGGCTCCTCCGGGCCGCTTCTCTTCCTGCTGCACGGAGCCGGGCATACGGCGTTGAGCTGGGCATGTTTCACGGTAAGCAAATAATTGCTTGGTAGAGTTTTCCCCACAGTAGGCCTGTCAAGCTTCTGTCGGGATGGAAATTCGTCTTTCATGATGTGGCTGCTTCCGTCCAGCGTCTTTTACGGGATGGGTCGCTGCCACTGCGCGTATTTGCTTATGATGCAAGAGGTCACGGTGCAACTACGTGCGCCGACAGTAAGACTTTGTCCGCCGAAGTCTTAACAGAAGACGGCATTGCAATCGTGCAGTACCTTTTCAACCGTATGGTGAGCGAAGAACTGTCGCCAAGCGACACCCGACAGGACGAATCGACACAGGAGGACAAGGGGATGTGTGAAACGGCCGACGGCGACTCCAAATCACACCGAGACCGAGATTCACTCCCATCTGTAATTCTTGTGGGCCATAGGTCCGTCTCCCGCCCTAATCCACTGCGCTGTTAAGGGCTTGCTTATTATTCCAGTGGGTCGTCGTATTTTTACGCCGGTCTTGATTGTGACTGTTGGCCAATGCAGCATGGGTGGAGCGATCGCCACAAGGATGGCGGCATCGGGGCGTGTTCCGCAGCTGCATGGTTTGATGGTGTTGGATGTAGTTGAAGGTATGTGTTTCTCCCCAGAACAGTGCTTCGCTTCTTGGGTTTCGAGCGACCGGTTGGTTGGTTGCTGCGCCTCCTGGCATCTCCACCACCAACTTGCCGACGTACTTGCGGAGATCTATGCGTACATTAGTTTGTCCTGTGTGTCCCATTCTCGCTATTGCTCGACTTCCCATTTTGTGCAGCTTCCTGGGTTGGTGGAGAAAGCTAAGCTGGCAAGCTAAACTCTCCCTTGAGTATGTTGTCTGTGCAGGGACTGCTTTGGCAGCCTTGCCACAAATGGCCGCTTTCGTCAGTCGGTTTCCCAGCCTATTCACTAGTTGTAAAGAGGCCGTGAATTGGAGCATTTTTGCTGGACTCTTGTGCAACAAGAGTAGCGCTGCAATTTCAATTCCTTCGCAGCTAGTGAAGACCACTCGGGGGGCACTCCCCGCTAGCCATAAAGGTGCAGAGAAGGGGCCGCCTGACGAAGAAGTATGGTGAGCGCCCTCCTGAATGAACAGCCTTGTTACTACTTCCTGCCGTATGTGGCCAACGCGCAAGGCGTCGTGGTACCTGCTTAGGGTGGAAACGAACTTGCCATCATAATGTGCTTACTGGCCTCTGTAGGACATGGCGCATTGACGTGATGGCCACTGAGCCATATTGGGAAGGTGCGTGCAGCCCTTTCGAACATTGCGCTTGTAGATAGCTCCTTCACAGGGTTGAAGACTTTGTCGATAGAAACTGCATGCATCTTTCTGTGTGAATCCTCAGGATGGTTCCGGGGGATGTCCCAAGCATTTCTGTCCAGCCGTTGCGTCAAAATTTTGATATGTTCGAGCAGCGACCGCTTGGACAAGGAGTTGATGATAGCACATATGCAGGTGGCCCAGCAATCCATCCAATACATACATAGCCTGCCAACACTCTGTTCTCCGACCGTGGAGGAAGGCAGTGGCAAACTGCTGTAGTATTTGTTGGTTTGATGCGCAGGGGAAGTTTCAAGTGCAGATTGTGAGCGGCTCGGGGCATGTAATTGAAGTGAGCGCAATTGAATGTTTATATTTTATACCTTGTAACTCAAGGTGCCTAAAAAATGTTCGTACTTTATATAACATCCATCCGCTGCTTCAGTCGTGCAGCAGTAAAACGGGCACGATGGCACGCATTTTGTTCTACAAAATGCTGCTCCGCTGGCAAGATTTAGTATCCACATGCAGGTTAGCATTGCTTTCCTCATTGCTGCAGGAGGATCAGCCTGCCGAGCTCTGCCGGGTTGTCCAGACGTTTATCACCCGTTATCGACTTCACCTACCTCCGAGTCAGCGCGCAGGATTGGTGCGGGGCTGAAAGCAATTACCCTTAGGGCCAGCCAAGTCAACCGTCAAGCTCCCGTAATTTACCGCAGTCGTCACAGTTTTGCTTGGTAAGTTCTGATCATTCCATTGCAGGACTACGGCGGACATTTCCGCGTTCTGCAGGCACCTATCAAAAATCGAGTGAAGACTTCCGCTATCAGAAACTGTTCAGACACACCCTTCTCCGCCCACGCTGTGTTGCGGCGTGATTGGCGGAGGCACAACAGCCGTTGAATACGGCTGTGAGGGTCTTCGTAACTTTTCAGTCATTTGGTACGGCAAAAGGCCGTTCTGCAGAAAGGCGCTGCACCTCAGGACACTATGTACCTTTTTTTTTATTCCAAAAGGCATTTTAGGGTGTGGTGATGTGGCCAGCAGCCCCTACCCAAGCAATTTCTTCGTAATGCTCTTGACAGCTTAGTGTGTACTGGAGACGACTGACAGTCTGGCTGCTCGCCACATGATGGAGTGATCTGATTGACTAGTCTTACTGAAGCTGCTGCACACTGCCCATGGCAACGGTGGCGTTGTGGCGGGCGGAAGCACTCTATACGACTAGACAAACCGGTCGCATCTTAGTCAATAAGCCTATAGGCCATTGCGGTTTTTCGCATTGATCAACACGCCGTACCACGTATAAGTGCGCAGCAGTTCTGCACTAGCGGATTCGCCAACCAGAGCTCTCCTCGCGATGCTCTTCCGTTCCACGAGGTTACGCATCATATGCAGTGCCTTGTTGCTAGTGAATAAGATATACAAAATGTGTTGGTTCCATGTTTTTCCGGGAGTGTAATGAATCCGCAAACTACTCCAGACCTTGCGAATAATCATGCCAAGTGAAGACCCGTTCGCGACTGTTTGTTGCAAATTTCGGCCTGCGAACGCTCACGAGTGCTATGACTTGCCAACATCTATATTTTTGAGCATCTGAAGCTGCAAAGAATCCCTTTTGAGTACCCGATGTTTCTGCGCTGCTTGACGGTGCGATTCTTTCCTCGACCGTGCAAGAGACAGTCTGAGCAGCAGGCAGAGGAGCAGAACATGACACACAAACCAGCGTATCCTGTATAGCGATGGCGATGATCTATCTGGAGAATTGTTCTTCAGGACCACTGTAAACAATGGATGAGTCGTCTTACTTCATTCGCGTCCAAGGCAGTCGTTGCAGATGTCGGCGTCTCCCAATTCCACCACTGAGCAGGCGAGGGAGCTGGTCCAAGTGAAATATTGGAACCCACGACTCTTGGAAACAATTGTTTTTCGCGGATGTACTGCAGTCTCTGCTCAACGATTCGTTGGAATTGGTTTCCCTGCACTTTCCCGCCTGCATTATGTGCTCTGCATATGTTACGGAGACGTCAGCTACGAAACCATTTACACTTTTTACAATCCTTCCTACTGCCTGCATAAAGGCGCATTGAGAAGTGTAGTATATCTTGTTGCTCTGTAGAAAGTCTTACTACCTGCGTTTGAAGGAATGGAACGCGCGGTAGGCGCTACTCCGGCTTACCTCTGGGGTTGCACCACGAGGCAACAGGTGTTGAAGAAGTCGGCGCGCAGCCATTGAACCTTGAAGACGCTGTGTTCATCCACAGCGTGCAGAAACAATAAAATCAGTGAGGGCAGGAATGGGCGCCACATCCAGGGCAATACTAAACTACTCTCTGGCTTGGCCGCTTACTGCGTGAGTTGGATCGTACAGGAGGAGGGGCACAAAACCTTGTCTTCCAGAGAGAACTGACCGCCTTTCGGACCGTGCCAGACCCAACGCACTATTTGCACTGGCCCCTCCAAGTTTAAGCAAGACTGTTGCGAGTGCCTGTTCCCCCACTTTTTCCTGAAGTCTCTGAGCCACGTGTAGAAGCGAGGCATATTGCGCATAGGGGACATTCAACATATCCGCTGAGACAAAATCACAAAATGGGAATTTATTTGGCCAAGTCAAACAGTTGTAGAGTGTTGTGTCGCGGGCTAGTGTGCCCTTCCTCTGCTGACGTCACACCTATCAATTGTTTCAGCATGAGTTCTTGGCAGTCAGCAGCTGCTGGTAGTGTTCGACGCTCAAAGTATACATGCCCTAGACGCTCGACATCCCGAAGTTTATTCACCTCCACGGTGCTGCAGAGCACAACTGATGCCCCTGGAGTTCTACCTCTCCCTGCGCGGCCTGTTCTGCAGCACAAGGAGAACCGAAGAGAAATCTTTCTCATACAGTTGACAAACGTCCAGACCATATGGCCCAGCCCCCAGGCCTCCTGCCCACCTTTTCTCCTACCTGTGTGTGTAGTTTTCGGGAGTACTTGGGGGGTGAAAATGGACGACTAGAACAACAGACGGAATGTCGAAGCCTCTAGCGGCTATGTCGGTGCTGACAAGCACTGATGCCTGCGAAGTCGTAATGTCTGGTATGCGGTTGGCATCGCATGAAGCCCAAACAGGATAATTAAAAGCACGTGCGGTAGATGACAACGGCATGGGCGTAACGCTGTCATACACAAGACCAAGTGACTGCCCGCCTCGCAGGGGACTTACATCTCCCTCCAAGAAACTCTGTATAGCACGCTCTCGGTCCTCTGCATCCATGCGCGAATGTACTGAAGCGATGCGCCAGGAGTCAAGCAGGGGATGGTTCTTGATATAGCGCACCTACACAGAGCAACGCACACTTCTAGCTACAATAGTAGGAGCAATAGTAGAAGCGTGCGGCTGGTATTCACCTCGGCTAAGCTAAAGCACGCCGCTAAAGCACGTCGGCAAGCTGAGAAGTTTCACCTCTTCTTGAGAGTCGGCAAAGACAATGCACTGGGGATGCCCTTCTTCTGTGCTTCTTTCTGCTTCCGTGGAAAGCTTTCTTAAAACTGGAGGCTGCAAACCGGAAGCGGAAGTCTGTTCTTCGCCCCCCGCATCTATTGGCTGCTCCTTTGGACTGCTTGCTGATGCATTTGCCAGTGCTTCACGACATTCTGGGAATTTCCCCGCATCCTCAGTACCTCCTGTCCCCAAAATACCTGGGTTGGCGGAATGGCAGTTGCCCTGTATCAAACGAGGAATGAATGCTCTCAAAATTTCGGCTAAAGCCAGCATCTTGCGTTCCCTTTCTACATGTTCTTCTTCCGCTGTCTGGCCTCTTCGCCTCCCCCCAATGTTTTGCTGCACCGCTGATTCATCGCAGGTAGTGTTTGGAGGAGAGTGTGAGGTATTACACGCGGGCATGTAACATATGTGGTGGCTTACACCAGCTCCCACGACAGCGCTGCCTGCCCACACAAAAGAAGTAAAAAGAGCGCAGTCACAACTATAGCCTACACGCACGATGTCATGTCGAGCAAACATGCAAGCCTACTTCTGGTACGCACCTGGGGAGCCGCTTCTGTTTGAGGGCACCTCTGCAGACAACTCTGCTAGAGCTTGGCGCCCTTCATATATCCCTCCTTGTGTCCCACATTTAGCAGCGTTCAGCAGGTTTAGAACTTCCGCGTGAGGAAAATCTGCTTCAAAGGTATCTAGCAAGCGTGAAGGCAAGACCGCGCTGAAGCAAAGCACTTGAAGAGCACTCCTGCAGTCCCGGAATCTTTCTCCAGGTCCAGTTCCCCCTTCGCTGGCTTTCCAACCCGTGGCTTCCCTATAGATGAACTGCACCTTAGAGTGGTAATCTCGACGCAGCATGCAGTCTGCTTCATCGACTACTAAGATTTGGAGGTTTTTTAAGCTGAGGTGGGCAAGTTCAGCCTGTTCTGTTCTCCCTGCTCCAGCAGCTTGAGGCCTTTCCCGTACTAGAGATAGGATTCTGTCAGGAGTGGATACAACGATCTTGACATGTAAATGGCTCAATAATCGCTGGTGATGCCGCACGGGGGAAGCAGGGTCTAAGAGCAGCACCGGTGCTTGCGGTAGTAGGGCCACAGCAGCATTCGCTACTTGCCGTGCCAGCTCACGAGAAGGAACGAGGATCAGTGCAAATGGAGATGAATGCGAACCAGCCGATACATCCGACGTGTGCCGCCCGTCTTCAGCTACAAACCGCTGCAGAACAGGAAGGAGGTAGGCGAGTGTTTTCCCAGCCCCTGGGTTAGCTGCAACGACGAGGCTTGCGCCTCCTAATGCACGCAAAAGACAAACTCGCTGGACCTCCGCAAGTCTTCGAATTCCAAGGCGCTGCAACCCTTCCTGCAGGTCCGCGGATATGGGGAGAGCAGACACTTTTGCTGCTGAAAGCTCAGTAATCGAGCACCTCCCAACATATTTTAAGGATAGAGAAGAGGATAAATTTGGGCAGAATCGCAGCACTGAAGGGTGACCAGTTCCACGCAGCTGGGCGGTTGTAGATGTTCCCTTTGCTACAGTATCTGAAACTGGAGGGGAATATGGGAACCTCGCTGAAGTGCACGATATTGGGTACTGCCGGGCAAGGCGCAAGAAGCCCACGCAGGACAGGGGACGTCTATAGAAGACGCCAAGTCCGAACTGCGGCAACAGTTGCTGCATCGCTCCGCAAGTGCCACTTCGACGTTGTGTAGACCGAAAAAAGGCACACTTCCCAGCAGGAAACCATGTGGTCAGCTGCCCTCTCCCTCATGGCAAACAGCATCTATTTTTTCCGCCAGCAAGGAGACCCACAGCTTTTCACTTGCAATATTCTATGGCCGGAGTAGGCTCCGCTGGCACAAAACAGTTAAGGATTCGACGTAGATGCTCTTTGGCCACTGGTTTCGTCATCTCATATGAGCGCTAGAGGGGGGCGGTTCAGCGGGACCAGAAACAGCAACAATATAGCGGTATTGGGAGAGAAGGCTGCAAGCGGCGCCTGTCGATGAGACTCGACGCAGCATTCCTTATAGCGCGAATTGACGCTCCGGGGCTATGCTTTGGGATACGCCAAACTTTTCACAAATCGATGAAGAAGCCACTGCAACATCTACGCGTTCGCTCTAGCGGCTTCTTATTGCATTTGCGGAAGAATATCCGTATTTGGTAACCTTTAATTTACTCGAAGTTTACCGTCCGGGCGTTCCAGTTTGGTTGCAAAAAATTCTACCTGGGGCCCCCCCAAAACGCTCCTCAGAACACCACCGAGCAGCGGAATACCTTTTCCAATTGAAACCGTCTTCTCTCAAGTTATAATACTTTACTTGTAAAATACGCAAGAATAAGTGTAAACGAAAGGCTGTTTTTAGTGATGTACAAGGAAGGTGTGTGCTCAGCCCAGTAGCTGCCTAATGTTCGAGTGTGCACGGGTGATACCCAGCCGCGCATCCCATGAGTATCTCTACATTTATCTCGTCAAGTTACACTACAACTAAATCTAACGCATATTACATACTTATTGGTCTTCCATTTCATGGCCTTGCAGGTTTTAGCTGCAAGCGATGACACTGTTACACCGGATGAATGAGATGCCAAAGTGCAGCCAACTACTGTTGTTTTTGCCGACAACTATCATTGTCCACCACCACATTTGGCCTTTTCATCCGCCTGCAAGCCAGTGGGGTAACAGTGACGGGCTAGAGAAGGCACTAGGGTGGCTGTATCTATAACAGCGGAGGATCTTAACTCTCCGGAGAAGCAGCCATAGTATATATGCCGTGTAATAGTCCCTGCTACTATGTGATATAATCAGGTTTATGGCACGAAAATAACGCTACTGTGTAAATTTAATCATGTCGAGAGTTAACCCACTATTGAGTGCCACTTCATGAAGAGACAAGTGAGCAGAGACTACTCTCCGGCGATCTCTACTTTGCCCGCCACCAGTTCGCACGGAAGCAAGCCAGTGGCTGCATCGTGGTAGAACGTAGTAGTTGGTGAATTAGTTGCTGCATCCGACAAATTGGCTCTAAGGGAGGGAGTACGTGTAGCTCTGGTTCAATCATGAGTGAAGGACGGAAAATTGACACACAAACAGTACCCTTTACCCTTTCCACACACATGACTTTCCACACAGATGATTATTTTGCATAGCCCCAACAGCAACAGCTAGTATTCCTGCTATGCCCCGCTACACTACAACTTCTATAAGCTCCAGAGAAGCAGCTATTCTGCACTCGCAGCGAAGTCAGAAGCACCACCAGGGCAAAAAGAAAAGGGGACATCATCATGTCTAGACAAGGCAACCTTAAAAATCCCTGGTTTGGTGTAGCTGTGTGGTATACCTCCAGCGATAACGAAAGCAAAATGAATCTTGCAGATAATCAAGCCAATAATGGTCTACTGAAGAACTAAAATGCACGGTCATGGTCCACAGCGACGGCAAACAGCAGTCACAAATTCAAACTAACAACAGCGCCGGCCTCTTCGTCAGTTCCGCTGCACACGAGGCTTATTTACGGAGTAAATCAATGAACGCTTCCCCCATTTCCAGACAAAACTAGCCTGCGGTCTCCCACGGGTGTATTGCGTTCTGTCAAGTTGGTTCGCAAACAATTCCCCTCAGTATAAGGCTAGATGCAAGCTAATATACACCAGCCTTAATATTCAAGGGATCGACGCCAAACGGCGAGCAATTCCATCCGGTGTCGCTCCTGCGAGAACACCTTCACTACGATGCATATGTATTAAATTTACACTGTCTGTAGGCGCTTCCGCCTGCGGCAATTTTGAAGGCTCATCCTGGATATCCCCGTCTCCTGCATGGCGAAGCATAATCCCGGGCACCATATCCAATATACTTCGCAACTAACTGCCCACAAAATACTGTAAAACGACCTCAAACAGCGATGCGCAGCCCATTCCCTTGGAAATTCCGGTGGACCTACCATCGTGGGCTTGAATAGCGTTACTGTCTTCTGTTTCCTTCCCATCATCTTGTGGAGCGGAGACAGAAGCTTCAGATGATCCTCCTGCAGGTTCAGCTGCACCGTCTGCTGCGGGTGTATATCGCGGGTCTGGATATCGTTCGTTGTCGCGGTCTTCAACGATAAGGATCAGCAACAGCAATGCAAACAATAACATAACTATGGCCAAGACAAAATACAAAAAGGAGCCCTGTACGCACAATAAAAACAAATTTCGCAAGTAAGTTCAGTTTCGTCTAGGGCTACTGCTGACCTTAAGTGGTGCTATTCGCAGTGCAAATTCACTAAGTAAGCAAAGCCTAGACTTGAAGCGCTCTTGTCAAATAAGGACCAAGGTATTCGGAAGAAGTTGTATGGGATAATAGAAGGCCTACGGAACCCAGTCCATCGACGGTACCGTAACAAAGATGGTTTGTTATTCGGATAAATCGATCCCGCGCAAATTTGCAGTTGCTCCCCTGCTTGATTTTCAGGACTTGGTCGCTCAAAGAATTGATCTTATTCTTTGCTATGCTGCCTGTTTGGCAGCACACGTTTCATGGGTGAGGTAATCCGCATTTAAAATTAACTCCACAAGCGTAGGCGAAGAAGTGGATAGGGAGGCATGGGGACAGCGGAAAACTTACATGCTATATCGCGGCTACCTTCGACCTTCGCTTTCAACTGCTTCACTGAGGTTAGTACATACGCAATAACATGCACCAGACAGCAAACAAACTATGTAACTCCAATGCTACGATACGTCTATATGTCACCGGCGCCCACTTTAGGGTTGAGGAGACATAACTGTACCAACGATACTAAGAATAATTCCTGAGCTGACCTGCATCAACGACGTCAGCTACGGAATTGTCCAGAGCATTCTGTAGTACAGGCGATCCACCAATACCTCCCATCAGCTGTGTAACCGAACAAGGCCTCCCCTGGGAGCCTGTGCTACTCAGAAAGCAGGTCGTCTTAGATACCATCAGTCCAATTTTCACCTTCAAAAGCGACACTGCATCCTTTATTTTTTCACAGTTTGTCCCGTTCTGAGGCACATGAGACAGCACCTACTACACTGCTCGCTTTCTTCTAAAGTTCAAGCAGTCTGCAGACCGTATGATGTCATCAAAGCCATTGTGTTGTCTACTCGTGATAGAGCACGAAAATGTCGTACATTCCGCGAGCACTCTTGGAACCAGCTTTCAAGATTCGCTGGTGATGGAGCCTGGCTTGTGATTGTCAGGGTTCCCGGATTTGCTGCGTCGCTAATCGCAACTTGCCATGGCTGGACCAACTCCCTGACAGTTCCCAAACCATAGATGGTTTTCCTGGCTTGGAGCTGGCGTACAGGAACTTGAGAATCCGGTTCTTGAATACCGCTCTGTGGAAAAAGACAGTTCCATACCAGTTATGCAAAAAAACATCCCCCCCCTTCAACTGCACTTTTGATGGAGATGGAGCAGGCAGCAGTCAACAAGTTTTAACAAATCCGTCCTTCTACATTAGAATGCGTCGTGCTCCCCTCTGTGCATGAAATAATGGAGAAACTTACAGCTTGCACTTGTGGGAATGTATTGAATGCCGACCTATTTCCCAAAACTACGGCCCAACTCTGCAGCCTCGCATCATCATTGAAATTCCCCATATCTGAATGCAGAAACAAGAAGTTCACAGCGTAGGAATCACGTCGTGTCCCTTTGTTGATTGTTTTTGATGCACTAACCCAAACATGCCATACACCGCAGCGTGCCTTCAGCAGTTGAGGGGAGACAGCAGGCGTACCGAGGTAGTCCACTTTGGGAGGAGCTGGGATTTGTTCGCATATTTCCTGTTTTGCCTCCTCCAGTCTTCCCAAAATCGGGTCGATTCGACTCGTCCCATCCTCCTCCTGAAGAAGGTCGCCGCTTCCAGTCTCTGACAAGCAGATGCTGAGACTCTGGAAAAATGCACTATCTTCTCCATAATATTTGGCAAAGACATGATCAGCATTTATATCGATAAAGCGTACAGCAGCATAATCGCACACGGGAGTTACGACTTTGTGCACGAGAAAAGTCACAGCTACCGTGACACAAATGACCACTGACAAGATTGTCATCAGAATTGCCAAGGCTCCCACAGTTCTTCTGGCGCACCGATTCGGCCTGAAAAGCTGCCAGATGAGCGTAAACACAGCCATAACCACCAATGCTCCTGACAAGGTGCTGACACATAAGAAGACGAAATCCATAGTGTCTATGATACTCGTCAATGAAAGTGAAGCACTCCCAAAAGAAGCCGCCATGTCGGACACCATGTTCACTACCGTGTCCGCATCAGAAAATCCGGCAAGATCCGCTGGAGGCAGTTCAATATCCTGGAAAGCTTCGAGGATAGGACTAGTTGTATCTATGTTGCCCAAATGGTTTTCGATTATTTTCAACTTTCCAAGAAGGGAAGCAGATTGTTCTTCCACAAAGATGTTAATATGGGATGCCTTTTTGGCAACATCCTGGGCTGCTTCTATGTTTCCTGTCGCAGCAGCCTTTGCATCCTGGAACAGTTTTTTCTGCTGCTCTATGTTCAAAGCCCCCAGAATTTCCTCCTTTACCTGGTTAACAACGTTATTTGGATTGCTTCCATCAGCTGCACGTGCCAACTGTCGGGTATCATCCACAAGATTTTTGATGCCCGCGAAGCCCAAGCCCCCTCCTTGTGCTGTTTCTGACATTCCATTTCTAGTGCGTGTACCGTACACGGCGGCATCTACCGATCGCCCTCCTGCACAGACCACTGCAGTTGCTTCATTAAGTGCCTTCCTGCCACATCGATACGCCGCTACTGCCATGGCCAGGGACAGCAGCGCCACTATCAAGCCGAAAATCAAGTAACATGGAATTCGGCCGCTCTTCGAGTGAGCCCTCCGGCGGACACAACAACAACAGCAACGGCAACATGGACAGCAAACCAATGGCCCAATACAACAGAATAGGAGAAACACGATGAGCCCGGCGACGAGAAGGAACACCACAGCCAAGAGGGGAAAGAACTTGGCAATCATCGAAGAGTTGATGTCTCCCTCTTCAACCATCGATGCGAAAGCATCCATAGCTGCCTCGCGGCCAGGTGCAAGGCTCTTTGCCTTCATTTCTGCCAATAACTCTTCGGCCGAGCGGCCCTGATCTATGAACTGCAGAGCGGACAGACAGCAAAAGACACAGAACTCCCGCCCTCCTGTGCAGACATTTCAGGGAAATTACTTCCCGTTATAGCCGGTTTTTGGTAATCTTGAACTGTACCCAGCACAGGGAGGAATGGTGGTTCCTTTGGGTGAGGACGACAGACACTTCAGTGGCTCTGCGACGTCTGTATGTGAACGAGCCGTTCTAAGAACTCGTGAATAGGTTTGCGGTGATGCAGCCTAGGTGTATAGCCTACCTCTCCTGTGTTGGGGTCTAAGATTCCATCGAGATTTCGTGAAAAGCAGACGGTCTCCACATCCTGTGTTGAGGTCTGCCTGTCTTCCTCATCTTGAGACTGCAGTAGACGAGGGCCCGTACCTGCTGCCAATTCTGGTCCGTTTCTGTCTTGAAGAGTCAACGAGGAAGTCGCAGCTGGAGCACTTCCCTTGTGCGCTGGTGTTGGTTGCGGTTGGGACTGCGCAACGTCTGTAGCAAGCGAATAATTTGAACCATGAGGGACACTCCCTTGAAGGGGATGTAGGTCCACCTCCCGGTGCGGCTTTGTTGTATGCACCGCAGCAGAGGGACGTTCCGCTGCCTGGACAGCCAGGAAGGCAAGGGTAACAAAGAAGGCGCATTGCAAGGCTCCCCTCCATCGTGGAGGGCATGAACATTTACCAACCATCTTTATGTAAGCTAATTAGAGTGCAAAAATCCATCAGTGTCCCCGTGAGAAGGTGAGAACAAACAATAAAACAGTGGGAGGGCTCTACCGGACAACCATAGGCGGGGAAGGAAATAACAGCATGACCAAAAGTTTGTTCGTGTCGTCTGCAATCTCTGGAATGAGAGAATAGAGCACGATGATCTTTCAACTAATAGGAAACGTCCTTGCGAACCAATTATCGACAAAGCCCAACGACAGTCAGTTGAGAGTAGGAGAGGGCTGAGGAAACAGGAGCACAGTCACATCAAGGCACTAAGTATGCTTTACAATCTCGAACAGATGAGGAGGGTGGGTTATGCAGCACAAGTTACAAAAATTTGGTAGTGGAGTCCGATAGTGAAACGGAGAAGGCAGGTGCCTCGTGGTGCTGACCGATCCTGCGGGTTCACGCCTTGGGATCTCCAGCAAAATAAAGACAGACACGCATTGTTCATGTTCACATTCCTACAATATGATCTGCCAATATTTAACTCCGTTTATTGAAGTGCGGGCTTCGGATAGCCGATGGGTACATGCCGGACCGGGCCGAAGGACCGTTGGTAGGGGGCAAAAAACTCAGGGTTACGCCAGACATTCGCTTCGTCCCCTACCACCGCTTTAACATTGTTCATTGATGCATCTCATGCACCAGAATTATAATCAAAGCTTACCGTAGGGGGGAATCTTGTGCAACAGGGCTTCGTTGCATGTAATGCATGAGCGCGTGTCGGTGACCGCTCCAACAGTAAAGGCCGTGGACTTCCTGGACAGGCTATCCATAAGAAGTCACACCCAGAATTTTTCCATTCACTGGCTAGTAGAATATGTTTCACAGCACACTTAAGGCTCCAAGAAGGAAAAGATTCATGAGGCGGACAGACTGAAGATTACTGCGTGCATGGCGCATGCACCGTGGAAAATCAGGAGGTCCCTCTAATGGAAAGCCCATCTAAGGAGGTAATGAAGAGAAAACCAATCCATAGGCTTCTGGTGTGCGACCTCGGTTTCACAAGAGCTGCAGATTTGTTCATGTTACCGTGACTACCGACCGACTACCGACCAGACTCGCGGGACTGCTGGAAGCGAATTCATTTGCAACTAGAAATTCGTGAGCCAGTGCTTGCATTGATACCCTACCCTTCTCCAGAATTTTGCCAGCATGGACACAACCGGCTTGACCTCGTTTCCATGTTTCCTTTATATAGGTAGGCTCAGTAACTTTATTAAACCCACACGCGTCCATCCGACGTTGGGTGGTTCCTGCTTCAACACAACTAGCAGAATCAAGTTCCCTTCTCATAATTGGCCATGAGCGGGACGTGATGAAGATGATTAATTGCAACCAAATATAACCTGGTGGCGGGTGATCGCGTACTCTGGAATACGAATTCTCGGTTCACAATTAGAGAGCGCAGCGCGTGAAGAGCCAAAGCTAGATTAGTGGAATGTACACTAGCTTGAGAGAAGCTTTTGTTTAGAGTAAATAATGTGAGTCTTCGGAAAACCAGCCCTGGAGGGGGTTTGCAATAAATGGATGAGCCTGCGCATTGTCGTAGATTTGCTTAAGCACTTCCTGTACCTGTGTCTCCAAGTAGGTTGTCGTTAAGAGCCCTACGATATTCAAGAAACACTAGCATCATTGGCATGTCCTTTTCCCTGCAGTCTAATACCACTTCAGAAGCAAAAACCCCTGCCTGCGACTTGGCACGATCTGCAGATGACCTCGAACGCATCAAGAATAAAGAAATGCGTGAGACTCTCATGTGCGCAAATTTCGTTAAGCACATAATATTCTGAGTGGTTTGTGGAGTGTTGGAGTGCACACGGGGTGCACGGTGGACATATTGGTGGCCCACACTCCGTGCATCTGGAATGGTTCCGGACACAGTTTGATGTCTTGGTATACGAGTCCCCTTTCTTCCACGTCTTAGCCCCTAATTTGCTATGCTCTAATAGGTATGGAGAACCATTCCTTCATTGTGGGTGTGGTTCAAGAACCACGTGCGCACGGCGCACGTGGTTCTTGAACCACACCCACCGTGCGCCTTTGAGAGTGCACAAAACTGAAGTCCCCCAGTACACGTAGCGAAGGCTTACATGTAGCTGATAGTTTCCTCCACACATTTTATATGAGTTAATGAATGCCATTGTGAAGACCAGTCGTCGTTACTGCATACCTGACAAAGTTCTTGTGCAGTAAGAATTGCACAAGGAACATTCATATTTGCAGCGCATTTGCGTTAGCTCTCCACTGTCGCTATCCAGCGTAGTTGCACAGGGTGAGCTTCTATGAACCTGAGATTTTCAATGCTCAGGTGGTTGATCCCTTTTTCCATGCAGGTATCCTGGCCATCAGCCTATGGGTTGTCAGGAGAATTGCAACTCCAACCTTCCCATCTATCGGCTCTACTTCGAATACTCAAGCGAGCACTGAATATGTAAGTCGAAAGACTTGAAAGTTAAGCTAGTTAGTCATGGGGATTTCGCAACATTGAGCCGGCACTCCGAACACAGTGCAACTGGCAGGTCCAGGAGCAAGCCGACCTTAGTAACAAGCTTCTTGTTATCCCCGTAAAGAGTGCGACAATCTGTAGAATGAGCTTATAGGCACTTTCGTATGGGCAGAAGCTAGACTTCCTAGACCTCGTTAGGCTGCGGCGGGTTCGGCGATTGGTCTACTCCCCCCCGCTGCAAGGTAGGTAGGCATGCGCTGCATGTACTTCTTCCGGTGTAAACAGTACTGAAACTCACACTTATTCTTCCATAATGTAAAAAAATATATTAACTTGGAGGAGTAGGAAAGGCAAACCGCCCAAAAGGGCGCTCCTTCGCCACGTGCTCCGCAGCAACCTCGGGTCACTCACCGGTGGTCATGTTAATGCCAGCCTATCCTGGAACCTTACGTCCCTCTTCGACCCGAATAAAATATTATAAAAAGACGTTTGAAGAAAGAATTGGAAAATTTTAGCGGGTTAGGGGGTCTTTTTCTTATAGCGCCGCACGTTGTGCAGTGCTTTCTCATCTAACTGTTTGAACATCCTTCTCTGCAACACTTACGCGTTTGAATTGTGCTTATTTTCCACAACGAATGGATGACAGGATGCCAACAGTGTCTGTCTGCGAGTTGTTGGTGGGTAGCATGACCTGTGCTGCTTGCAAGGGAGCGGTACAGCGCAGTTTGATCAAATGCTCGGGAGTCATTCAAGCCGAAGTGGACCTTCTAAGGGAAACTGCACGCGTCGCGTACCACAGCGACGTGATTAGTCCAGCTGAACTCTGCAAGTCAGTCGAGAGCCTGGGTTTTCAAGCTCAGGTTCTGCAGATATTCGTGGCTAGTAGTAACACCAGTCCGCCAGCTGAGAGGGACAGCGGAAGAGACTCTCCACACGCCCGCACTGGAGCGCAGTGGGACGAGGCTTCGCAATTACCTGTGCCAGATGGGTTGGAATCAGGGGCACTCGACTACGAGGAGGCGGGGCTGCGGCACCACCGCCACGTGGCAACCCCTCAAGCACACGATTTCAATGAGCTGTGGACTATGTCAAATGCCACACTCCGTCTTGCGATAGCAGACAGTCGAGGCTTGGCTGTTGAGTCCGCCTGTAGCACACTGAAAAGCAGCAAAGGAGTGCACGCCTGTGAAGTGGCCCTTCGAGGGGTTGAGGGCCCTGGCACACAGCAGCTGCTGGTGACCTACAAACCCCAGGTGGTAGGAGCTCGTGAGCTGATTATGAAGTTAGTAGCAAAAGGTTTCAGTCCGTCAATACTATCTGAAGATCCGTTACAGAAACAGGCAAGAGTTCCCATGGGGATTACACTTTCCTTCGAGCTACCCTCAGAGCAAACTGAACCCGCTCTTGGCGAAATGATGGCAAACGCCACATGCTCCGCGTTTCGATGCCAGTGTTCTGTTTGGGGTTGTGCTGCAGAAGGAAGCTGTTCTGGGTCACCGAAGGGCTATGCTCAGCTCCCTTCTTCTTTCCATTTTGCCTTCCCTGGTCGTCATTTGCCTCTCCACCATGGCCAGGACACACAACCTCCCGACGGCACTTCTGTGAGCACCGAACGCCTACCTCGAACCTTTTGACCAGAGCTGCACTTAGGCAGAGGAGCATGCAATTCCAAGAGACAATAAAGACGCTTCAATTTCTCTAATGCAATCCATTTGAGTGAATTGTTTCCTTTGGAAAGCCGTCTAGCCACTCGCTGCACACGCATGTTGCAACTGTTAGTTGCATGCAGTACAGAACAAACGGGTTGCTGTTGGCCTTCTGTGCTGCTGCTCAAGACGGGAGTGCCTTCCGGGGATGCGCCTGTCGACCTTGCTGCTGCTTATTCTGACGACCCCTGTCCAGTTCTACGGCGGTCGCAGCTTCCATAGGGCGGCTTTTAAGGTGAGATTCCCTGCAAACTAGCTGCGGCTCCGCTCTTGAAACTGCATGCACGCAAGTATGCACATTTGTGGAGGCTCGCAGTTGTTGCTAGCCGCAGCAGGCTGAACACGCAGGAAGCTCCGCGGGCTGTCCACTGCAGGGCCTGCGCCACCGTCAGTTCAGCATGGACCTCCTCGTGTCGCTCGGAAGTAACTTGGCCTTTTTCTACTCCGCCCTATCCTGCGTGCAATCAGCAGCAACCACAATTTGGTGCAGACCGCTGCTGTCTGCAGCGGGCGCTACAGCAGCACCGACACATCGGGGGGCCGCAGCTCCTGTCGGCCACCGAGCGAGCCCATTCTATGAACTCCTGGAGAATGCAGAACCTCAGGTCTTCTTTGACACATGCGTAATGCTCATTTGCATCGTTCTCCTGGGCAAGGTAAGGGTATCTAAGCCCCCTCTCTGTGCTGTTACTTCACTTGCTTCACACCTCATTCAGTGTTTCCTCTGATCCCCGTATTTTGTGGAGATAGTTTAGAGGCTGTGCTGCCGGATGAAGAGGGAGCTGGCCAAGATCTTCATTATGCCTGGCGCCAACGGCAAGAAAATCCGGAGCTTCGACTCAGTGTGAAGATCTGCATGCACAGGCATGCCCATGTGCGGTATTTGCGCTGCAGCTGCTGCAGCTACGAGCGAAGGCGCGAATTCTGGAGCAGCTTCACAGGTAGGTGTGGAATGCGCATTGAGGGCAGGTGTGCATGCTTTTCTTGCTTGTCCCGGTTTAGTCTAATTTTTCGACTGTCGGTTGCTGGTTGTCCTCTGGATTGTGCAGCCTCCACAGCCTGCAGGTGCGCACGGTGCATTTGGTGCTGCGCTCTCCAGACACTGCAGTCTCCCGGTGCCTTCAGCACGCAGCGCCCCAGTCTTCTGCAGGAGGAGTGAAAGAGGGGGCCGACACAAGCAGTCCATCGCCCAGCGATCTTCTGAAAATCGCCGATGTTGTTGCTGCGGATTCCCCGGAGGTGGGCCCGCTGCGCCGGCCTCCTCTCCCTGTGTGTTGGTGGCAGAAGGTCTGCGCCGCCTGTGGAGTGCAAAGGGAAGGGTTTCCAACTGCATACAACCCACTGACTCAACCAGCCTCTTGGGGCCTTCCAGATGAGGGCGACGATGTCGTAGACGGCAGGAAGCGCTCCTGTTGCTGCCGACAAAAGAGGCAAACATCAGCCACCATCATAGACGCACAAAATGCAACGGGGAGCAATCCTGCTGAAGTCATCATCAGCGCAGAGCTGCTGCAGGCAGGGGACGTGGTGCGAATCCCTCCTCAGGAAGTGCTGCCAGCCGACGGCATTTTGCTGGTAAAGCTCTGAACCGTAATCCGTACATCCTGAAAACCCTAAACCGTTAGCTTGACACCCTACGTCCCAGAGCCTAGACCATTAGACCTGAGATAGTTCGAATCTCAGGAGGCGGTGGAAAACACAAACGGCTTGCAGTGCGTCCTCTCTCTGGTGCAGCTAGAGGCTCAGCGAAGAGGCAGCACCTGCAATTGTGTCTGCGTTCGTCTGTCTCGTGTAATGGATGGTGTGTCCTCCTCTTGTTGTTTGCTGTTTTGCGCCTGGCCTATATACTGGAATTCCTCTCCTGGTTCCTCTGAGGTGTATTTGCGCAGTGTGTCTACTTTGTCTCTCGTGGTCGCATTTCGTGTTTCTCAACTCTTGAGTGTCATTTTCGTGTCTTTATTTGCCTTTCAAGTAACAATTACATGTTTGGTCCGTTTGGTGTTTGGGTTGCTTTAATTTTCTGGATTTGGTTTCCCTTCTCTGTTTTCTTGAGTACTGCATGCAGGCCCCACCGGTGTTGCACGTGGATGAGCGGCTCCTTTCGGGGGAGGGCCGTGGTGTCTGCAAGTTTGCGGGACAGCGGGTAATTGGAGGCAGCAGAAACGCATCGCATGCAGATGCATTTATGCAAGTCCAGGTGGTATGTCTCCAGCTCTTTTCCCCCACACAGACAATCAACACTCTCCCGTACACAAAGGCAATCGATTTACACAGATGTTCGGCCCCTTCTTTCCAACAGGGGCCTTCAGAGATTCCTTTGCGACCTCAGAAAACATACCCACATGCCGACAACTGTACAGATAAGACAACGCAGAGCCTGCTGCAACCGCTGCTGCTTCTTAATTCGCCACTGCTGCTATGGATGCAGGTTGGCGACGCCTCCGTGCTACAGACACTGCTGCGACTGGTGCAGACGGGGCAACAGCAGCACCAGCCGCTGCAGAAGGCTGCCGAGATGTTTGCTGCCTACTTCATTCCCATCGTGTTATGCATAACTGCTGGTGCTGTTGTAACCTGGGCCGTGCGAGTCTTCGCTGCAGCAGATACACTGCCACTGTCTCCCCTGCAGCAGCTGCGGCAGCGACTACGGGAGCTGGAACTCAGGGAGGGTGTATCAGGCAGTGAGCTGCAGCTGCACCTGCAGCAGAAGCTGCAGCAACAGCAGCAACAACAGCTTGACCCGCTTGGCAATTTCTTGCCGTCAGCTGGCCCGCAACGATCGGCGCCCCTAGCCTCTGCTATAGGAAGCCCCCTGATCTCTGTGCATGCAGCAGCAGCAGCTGCTGCTGCTTGCCGTCTCTCCAGCTGGGTGTTAACTTGGGACAGCCTTCTGTTTGCTTTGCGTTTCGGAGTGGCTGTCTGCTGTGCAGCTTGCCCGTGTGCTATCGGGCTCGCGGCTCCCGCTGCTGTGGCAGCTGCAACTGCCGCAGCAGCAGCACGAGGGGTATTCTTCAAAAAAGGAAAGGCCCTCGAGGCAGCAGCCAATGTGAACTGTCTCGTTGTCGACAAAACAGGAACCCTCACCACCGGCGACCTTCGAGTGAGTGCAGCGGCAGAGAGGAGGGCTTGCCAGGGGCATCTAACAAACAGTTAGATAACTGTCATTCTAGCAAACCAGCAGCTAGCTGACAGTCAATCAAGCTAACTAGCAGGCAATTTGCTGCCATTTCCGCTAGTTATCGCTAGCTGAGTATCCGTCTAGATTACAGCCAACTAGCTGGAAACCTATTTGGCTAGCAAGCGGTTGGGTGACTATCGATCCAGCTAGCTGCCACGCCAGCGAGCTAAAGACCGGCCGACCGCTGTCGTCTCCTTGTCTCATCCTATAGGGTCACAAAGCTGCAGCCACCTTGTCGGGTTCCCTCCAAGGCCCAAGTCCCTCAAGCCTGTAGATAAGCCCTCAGCGCAGGTCTCGCTACGTCTGTTGCTGCTGCGCAGGTGGCAGCATGTGTTTTGCATACAAAGCGGCTGGAACGTCTTTTGCTGCCGGCACTGGAGGGGAGCAAACACTCTCTCCAACCCTCCTCCAAACCAAGTGGTGAAACTTGCTGCAGCACGAGCAACGCCGGCAAGACCACAAACGGTATCAAGACCGCCTTGTGCAGCATCAGTAGCAGCAGCAGCCGCAGCACCAACACAAGGGAAAGCGAAAACACGTCGTCACCATCCGACAGCGTAATCGGCTCTATGACCGATGAAGCCATCGCCACTCTTGAAGAGGCCACGCCTCCTCGAGCAGACATTTCAGCGAGTACAACGGGCAGAGGCTCTCCATCGTGCTGCAGGAAGAAACTCCAAGGTAGCAGAGGCAACCTTGAAAGGCCTTGCTTGGCCCCCCTTGCCTTTTGCAGACTAGACTTCCTGTGGGAGGCGTCGCTGCCCACGTCGCAGGAAAGCAGCCCCCGCAGCAGCATCAGTTACAGCAGTACCACCTGCAGCAGCAACGGGGCAGCACATGCAAGCTTGGAGCGTGAGACATCTCCGAAGCCCTGCACCTGGCATAGCAGCACCGCGAAGGTTTATGGGGGCGAGGCCTTGCAAGTGGTGTCAGCGGAGTCTGCTGCCACTGGCTGTTTCCTCTGGGCTTTGAGTTGTCTGGAGCAGGGAAGCAGCCACTCGGTAGGGGAGGCCTTGGTTCATGCGTACGAGAAGTGGCGGCGAATGCAGCAGAGGGGGGCAAGTTTGGCTTCCTGTGAGAGTTGGAAGTGTCTGGGTGTTTGGTCAGCTGCTGCTGCTGCCGGGTGTTTGCCGCCACCCCAGGCTTGCGAAAAGCCTCAACTGCTGTCTCGAGGCATTGAGGGGCATTTTCAAACAAAAGGAAACCTACGGCTGCGCTTGCGCGTCGCTTCAGCCTCTCCAGAAGACGGTGGGCTTAGCTGAGTGGGAGTTCTGCTGCTGATTGGAATCGCCTGATGTGAATACACAGTACAAATAAAAAGACAGTAACCAGCGTCTGCCATCTTTAGTGTCTGTATTTGTTTTGCATACGATGCAGACGGACAAAACTCCAATGATGATGCCTCTTCAGAAGGAGAACAACTTGCACCCGAAGAAGAGATCCAGCTACAGGTACAGCCAGCTAACGACTTTTCCTTTCAGGCGTTTACCAAGGCAGCCCTTACACCTAGATATAGCGAAGACTTACACAGCGGTATATATATATATATATATATATATATATATATA